TTTTTCATTTCGCTTTCGATCGAACCACGCGCCGCCCCACACCTCTCCTTCGACAACGCGTACCCGAACGAAGGGACACTGATTTTCCTTTTTTCTTTCTCCTTTCTTTCTTCTCTGATGGATCGACTTTCAGAAATATATTTGCAATATGTACACAAACTTGATTTTAGAGAGTTTTAGGGAGAAGAAATATTGGGATATATTCCCTCGTTTGATCCAATTGGGGATATTTTTACGAAAAGATACGAGGCGAGGCTGGGATGGCCCCCATTTTGGTTGCACGCGAAATAAGATCGCTAAGGCAGCTATCTATTAAAATACCTCGAGTCACGCGACGAGTAAATTCTGATTCGTGGATCCTTCGAGATTTTTTTACCTCGATTGTACATATATATATATATAACAAATTTAATAATTCTTAAGATAATTCAAAGTAGATCGAAGACGGATCCACTACGAAATTTTCGAGATTGGAAAAAAAGAAAGAAAAATGACGTAAGGGGAGGAATATCGAGATAATCGATCCACGTGGCCGGTTCGGATTAAGAAAAAGAAAAAAAAAAAGGAATCCGGCGGCCGTGTTTTCTCGCTCTTGCGATCTCGATCCCGATCTCGATCCCACGCGAGCGGGCGAGCGAGCGAGCGAAGCGCCTTGGGCTCGCGGAATTTCAAGATCGCGGCGCGTCCGCGAAAAGCGAATCGGCGAGGCACGAGAGCGCGAGAGGTGAGACGGATCGATCCGATCCGTTGGACGGATATCGGGAACCGGCCAGACGCGAGACGAAGGTCCCGCCAAAATCAAGGCTTCGTTCGACAACAATGGAACGATACCGGATGTCTTGGGCCGCTTTATAGCCGTTTACATTCGCGGACGGGCAGGTTTTATTTTTTTTTATGCAAAAATCGCGCGGGTTAACTCGACAACGGCCCTTCTCGATCACACAGAGTTTCGATCTCTGTTTTTCTTCTTCTTTCTTCCGCTCGATGATTTCAATTCGATCGATTTTCCCTGCTCTCCTCGCGAAATTAAATTTGCGAGCGTTTTTTTCTTTTCTTTTCTTCTTTTTAAATAATTAAATTCGGAGAGAGGGATTAATTTTCAAGTGTGTGGAGTGGAAAAGTGTGACGAATTATTAAAATATCGGCGCCGATTGTTTTTAACGAGAAGAGTGAATCGGAAGAAAGTGAGAGAGGCGAGGCGGTTCGGTGACACACTTTTCTCGAAGCCCAACGAGCAACAACGCTCGAATCGCAGCAACGCGGCTAAATATTATTATTCGCGAGTGGCGAGTAATAATAAATTGTTTTTGTC